ATAGAAAAGTCATTGTCATAACTTGTTTTGATCAATGGTTTCATCTAAGTGCTGATAATGCAATTTAGAATTTATAGACCTATATACATTTATTTCCATATTAAATTCAAAAACTGCAACACTTTTCAGATTCGTGCACCTTATTTATTTGTGTGTATGGCATCACTGATTATCTAATGTTGTGTGAATCATTTCACAGAATGTTTATGAGCATAACATACTGAAAACAAATGTAGCTATCATAAAAAATTGCATTTGCAGAAGTCATTCCATTCAATAGATTTGCATTCAAATTATAGTTCTGCATTCTGTTTGCAGTGATTGAATCGGAATGTATAAGGCATTCTCAAGTCAGTTATGAATGACGCACATGCAGCCCAGCTGGAAATGGCAGTCTAGTTCAATCACGCGCTGCTTGTGCTGTTGTGTGGTTCATCATGTGGTTATGGGCATGATGATGGCGTTCTCATTTGAGCACAAAAACGGTTGGAGGTCTGTTTAGCTAACAAAGCAGGACCGGCACTCAGGTCAAATTCGTGACAATAAACTGACACCAAGCATTCACTATTAAAAACATTCAAGACTACGCTTCGGTGGTGTTTTCAAACGTTTCAGTAAACACAAATGTTAGTAAAAGCGCGTGCAACAACCTAATAGACGCCAGCATATGTCCCATTCACCTGAGCAACCAGGGGCGGACTTACCCATTAGGCAAAGGTAGGCGACCGCCTTGGGCCCCCAAAAGCCAAGGGTCCCCAAAAGCCAAGGGCCCCCTAAAATGCTTTTCATAAAGGAGATGCGCATTAAGGGCTGACACGCGAACGGTTGCTGTTTACGGTGTTTATTACCACGACAACCGTCCGAGTTGAACGTGCTTCTTGTGTATTCTGCTTGAAGGAGATGAAAATAGCATGCATCTGAAGCTGTCATATCCAATATTGAGAAACAGTGTGTATTATATGTTTATAATTGTTTTAAATGCCGCTTACTCATTTATAAGAAGTAACCAAGTAGAGGACACATATGCAGTTACTTTTTTGGTTGCTATAATCCTTAGGTGTGTAAATGTATAATTGCCTTTTCATTATTTTTTCAGTTTTATTTTAATTTGTAGTTAAAATAACTAAAAATAAATGTATTTTTAGAACATTAAAGAAAGCCATTTTAACATGTACATGAAAAATGTATAAATATTGGACACAACTATGGGGCACCATTGTGCAGCAGCAAGCACCACAACAAAAAAGGAAACTCAAGGTTGATCTAGGAAAATGTCTGCAAATGTATAGGGCCCCATTCCTATATTTTGCCTGGGGCCCCCAAATCACAAAATCCGCCCCTGTGAGCAACCTTACGCTTTCAGTGCCATTGCGATCAGTTTTAGACTGGGACTGCCAGTGTGTGTGACTTTATTTTCAGATTTACATTGCAAATACACCATACAAAGTTTTGTTTAATATGATTCCATCAATACCGTTCTAGTGGCACCAAATGACAAATGGCGCGACCCACGAACAGACTGCGTCCCCCACAAAGCAATAGCGTAAACATTTCCTATTTCTATAACGAATACTGTTGAAAGATGGTTAACTCTTTATTCTCATTCCTAATTATATAAAGTTGTCCGATTCCCTTATGCGTAAAGTTATAGTAAATGCGGGTGCAGCGCACTAATAGCATGGAGGGGACGTGTGTTGACGGCACGTACCCTTGTTTAACCCCCATACATTTGATTCACAAAACATGCACAGTCCTCTAAACGTACTGTATGGCTGAATGAGGCTGCTGGAGCGTTTGGTTGATCAAAGGCGATACGTCATTGCGAGCTGCAGCGATTGGCTGGATTCCGCTCCTTTTTCTCCACAATTTGCAACCACGACCGGTCTTCGCCTCCGGAGCAGCGACATCCCACAGTTGAGGCAGGTAAACTATCGGTTTTAATGTAGATCTTCGCATGTTCATTTGATTGATGAAGCTAGCTATTTCTTTCTCCTGTTTATGGGCTACTTTACGGTTTTCTTCAGACATTAATTGATGAGCAGCCCTGCTGCTGGCTGATCTGAAGGAATGCCGCAGTTGAGAAATGAATGCTGAAGCAAATGAATGCTTTTTTGTAATTGGAAAAGACTAGCTTGGGGGGGGGAAGGAGCACGGGCTGAGAGAATATAACGCGACATTGTTTGCGCACATACGCCGCAAAGTTCGCATTAGATCGCTTTTGTTCTTAAACAGATCATGTGTGTATGCGTCAAAGGTGTGGATTCGAAAGTGTTTTAAAGGACGGTTTCTAACGTGAATAGAAATGTAATTGATCTCTCTGCGCACATGCTCTTTTCTAACTCTGGATTCCTCATTGGATCTATTTTAGGTGGACTTATTTCCCTCAAGAGAAATGAATGCAATATAGCGCGCGCATTCGCAGGGCTGGACATTTCTATTCGCTTTCGTCTCCTCAATTCTTCCCTGCAATACCGAACCGGACTAAATGAGTGCCCGGACCTTGGAGAGACTGGTTTCCATTCCCCACTGTGCCTTAAACGGAACCGCTCGGACCAGCAATGGCACCTGCTTTGAGCGGGTGGACCAGCTGTTCCAGGCGTTCTCCTCCACCGTCGTGCTTTTCGTGCTCATCGCGATGATCATTGGGATAATATTCGTGTCCGTCACGACCTTCCACTTTCACAAAAGCAAGATGAAAAAGCGCAAGATACAGAAAGCCCAGGAAGAATACGAGCGCGACAACTGCAGTCCCAAAGCGGTCAAAGGCAAGCCGGTGGTCCGGCAGTGCATCATGGTGAGACCCCCCACGGCAGCGCGCAAAAGTGATCCAAACACGGAAGATCCTGGCGTGACAGAGGACGTGAGACACTCGGGACAGGGGAAGGATGATAACTTGTTGGAATCGGTCGCTGTGTCTTGATAACGCAGTGCCAAGCCTTTGGAGGACGCTGTAAATAACCTCTGTATTCATATGATATCACCTACGGAATATATCGATTCTTTGTATAAGCATTAGAGTTGATAAATTCTCATCGTAGATCCCGGAGGAGGCTTTGGAAGAAATCTAGGAACGGTGTTCAGTGGTTTTTGAGAAGGACTGAGGAAGACTAAGGAATGCTGACGGAATTTCTATCATAAATCCAACAAAGAGAGTATCGAGTAAGATCCTACTGGATAAAATGAAATGAGAAGGAATGAGTTAATCTAGCAGGATTTTGTTGAATACTAATTGATGGGATCAAATGAGAATTTCATAAAAATGAAATAATAATAATAAAAAAAGAAAATTCTTGGGAAAAAAAATCTAATAATTAATCTTAGGAATGAGTTAATCTAGCAGGATTTTGTTGAATACTAATTGATGGGATCAAATGAGAATTTCATAAAAATGAAATAATAATAATAAAAAAAGAAAATTCTTGGGAAAAAAAATCTAATAATTAATTTAAAAGGCTCTTACTGAATATTAATGGATTTTCTATCAAAATTAGGAGTCAATCAGATCAAACAGAAACCCTTGATGAATCAATGAATGTTCTGGGAACATGACATTAATAAGTTAATCCAGTAGGATTTCATCGAATACTTGTCATCTTATTGATGGGATCAAATGAAAATCTTCTAAAAATAAAATAGAAATTCATAAAATTCCTGGGGGGATAAATCAGTTCATTAATCTAAAAGTATATTACTAAATATTAATGGAATTTCTATCATAACTCAGATCCAATCCAATTGTGATTAAACAGGAGTCCTCTATGAACCAAATAAGATCATAACGTAGAATTAAAATTCTGGAGAAAAAAGACATTGATCATTCAATCCAATAATGGATTTCTATTATAATTCGGAGCATAATAAAATAAAAAAAAACTCAAATTCAGTAGGATTTTACTGAATCATAATTTGGAGCCAATCCAAACTGGATCAAATGTGAATTGTCTAAGAATCAAAGAACATCCTTCTGGATGAACTGAGGTGCCTGTTCTTTTAGCTAATGCTTTTCAGAATTTCAGTAAATCCAGTAGGATTTCGTTTTATACCATTAGGATTGTCTACAAATTAGGATAGACGTGCCATTAGCGTTTGGTGGACAAATTCAGGACCTGCTGCCAATACTTCAGAGTTTATTACTCAGTGGTGAAGGAATAGTGAAGTTCCTCAAAGTTAAAGGGACGGTTCTCTTGTATAAAGTCTGTACAGACGCTGTCCAGTGCTGAAATCAGGACAGAGACGACGGTCTTCTTCATGTGGAACTTCAACACAACTCGCAACAATTTCCTTTGTTTTGGGTTTCAGAAACTCTTAGGTGTTACTCTTTTAGGCAACAGTGTTGTTTCTTTCAACAAATATTGGAATTTTTCTTCATCTCAGTGGCTTTTTCAAGATAGAAGTGCAATTCGTGCCATTCTGGCTTGGCATGAATAGGTTTAGTGTTTTAACCCCTTTATCCCAGAGATTGTTAATGTGCAGTTACAGCCGCTAGTGGTAGTATAGCCTATACTTGTTTTGTTCATGGCACTGTATAATCATAGTAAAACTTATGTAACCTGAGGCGTTTCGGTTTTGTGTTACAGCTCTGTATTAATGCTCTCTTTTTGCATTTTTGCTCTAGATATAACACTAATGATTGAGTATTATATTTTTTATCATTCTAAACTAGTGTAACAATCGATACGAAATAAGAGAACATTTTAAAAGTCATTTTATGTATTTCCTTGACGTTGTGTTGAACCGGAAATGGAAGCTATGTATTGTAACAGATCGCAGTTTGAACTATTTGTTTTTATTTTGTTCAATGCATACTATTTTGAATTACTAATAAAGTATTGTGCAAATTGGTGTGTCGTTATTTGAATTCAAACGCACTCTCGATTGAAAACATCACCTCTGTGTTTAGGCTCTGCTGAAAAACAGCCTAAACCAGCCTAAAGTGGTTTGCTGGTCTTAGACTACCAAGCAGGTTTCTGCTGATCCACTTTTCCCAAAAGCAACATAAGCATGCAGATAGAAACATTTGTATGAATTATCTTAGAAATATGGACTGTTTCCAAAAAGCATAGTAACTTATGAAATAGTTGGAAATCACTGTAGCTCTATGAGTTTTCTCTGTGTGTTTACATTTATTAATATCTGTTTATTTTAAAACAATTAAATACAATACAGATATTAAATGAATGCATAAAATGAATAAAATAAGATTTGTGTGGATGTTGTCTGGTACAAACAAATTTGTGCCATGATTGTTGCACAGAACTTTATAAATGAAATTCCGTGAAGGTGTTTTTAAGATCAAAATGTTCTAATGGCTTTGGACGCTGATGAAAAATCAGTCATATATCACACGTCTTGGCTCACCAAAACATCTTCCCATGACATCTTCATCCTCTCAACAAGCCCTTCATCTTCTTCTTCTCGGTCATTGGACTGCTGTCTCCACTGACCCTGGAAGCTCTTGCCTCCATCCACAGGTGACTGTGAGAAAATTAAACATTACATCCTGCTATCAGATAAACATAGCCGTTATTCTGTAGAAGATCAATCCACACAAAGTAATAACAAAATTATGATTGACTTTGGTCTGGTTTGATGGTTTTAGAGTGGTTTTGGGCACTTGTAAGCCATCCATCCATCTATCATCCATCCATCAATCCATCCATCCATCCATCTATCATCCATCCATCCATCCATCCATCCATCCATCCATCCATCCATCCATCCATCCATCCATCCATCCATCCATCCATCCATCCATCCATCCATCCATCCATCCATCCATCCATCCATCCATCCATCCATCCATCCATCCATCCATCCATCCATCCATCCATCCATCCATCCATCCATCCATCCATCCATCCATCATTCAACCATCCATCCATTCAGAACTTAAAAAAAAAACATCATACATAGTTTTTCTTGACAGAATTCGCTTTTCCAGTTAAAATGACAGTTCTGTGAATTTCTTTCGGTTTCAACATCAGTTTTAAATCCAGGAAATGAACTGGAATGTAAACGTCACTCTCAGTTCAGTCCTGAATGGCGCACAATGCTGCTGTTGGCATGTTCCTGACGGAGGTGTAGGATGTGAAACACAGGAGTAACGCGCAGCTGTCAGCTGTCTAAACCGTACTTCAGAGCCGAATCCAATCACCCTTCACAAATCAAATAATTATCGTCCCTCCATCTACTGTATGTTAAAAGGCTAATTGCTTGACTGCTGCAGTATTCACTTTGTGTGGGACATGAACAATAGTGACAGAGGAGCACCGCTGGTTAGAGAACAACATCTCCTCTCGTCTCTGCTCACTGTTTTGCTTTCTTCTTGAACTGAATATTAGAGTGCAGCGGTTAGAGTGTGTGATACCACTGACAAAAGGGAAAAGAACAAACAGAAGATGTGGGAGATCTTTGCGCCTCCCCTGCAGCCAATCAGAGAGCGTCTGAGTAAATACACCTGTGTGTTCCTCACTGTGCCAAACTTGTGCCCACTACACAGCCCACTCTCCTCTCTATGTCTCAGTGTGTGTGGGCCGCCGCAGTCATCGGCAGCGCTCTGTACACGTAACGGCGCATTACTGTGTGAATTTATTATTTGCTATGATTGAGAAGATTACGGCTGGATGACTGTAATTAATCTGAAAGTTTATAAAATGTTTTCTTTTTGCTGAATCCATATGTCTTCTGTATGTTAGCTACTTCATCCCACATAGTGGAAGTGTTTGGTGATTTATCACAGTGATCTTCAGACCCCACATCATAACACAACGTTATTCCAGATGCACATCTGCATCAAAATGTCAAGGTCAGTAAAGGTTTTACCCGAACGAATCACGACATCACCACAGTTGGCCTCGCATGCAGTAGCAGCATGAAAAAATGGAAGGAATGCTAGTATAACCCGCAGCTCTCAACAGAGAGTCCCCTGGCCGGGACAGTAGTTTAGATATCCACTGGCACATATAACTGACTAACTAACTAACAAAAAAAATAAAAAATAAAATAAAAT